GCTATGTCAACTCCTGTCTTGCTTCTCACGTCTTCCATTCACCTTGTGAATTTTTTATTGATGCAAATATGATCTGTCTGGTTCAGTGTAGTGTTGTCCGATGATACTCATGTAGTTTCGTGTATGTGTCTGTGTGGGAATATTGTGCAGCCCATAACCAATTTGTTGAATGCACACATATTTAAAAACCTCTCAACATTTTTGTTCCTTTCTCCTAGCCCATGTTGTTCCATGATATCTTCATGACCGTTGTTGTTCATTTCGACTTTGGCGTTTAGGTCTCCCATCAGGGTGATCAGGGCCTTTCCTGCACTTTTCTATGATCGATTGCAATCTCTCGTATAACATTGGATAACATTCATTGTGATTCCCTCCTTCATTGTTTTGAATGATGCTTTGATAATTCTATAGAGATTCCCATCCTATGAGTGCATTACATACTTCTTTGGACAGCATCAGAGAAACTCCCTGAGGGTGTGGAACACTTTCCTCTTCGTGACCTGAATAGAGAAGTATCTCTCCCGAATCTAGCCTTTTCTGTCCACTTTGGACCCAGTGGGTTTCACTGACTCCGAGAACCGCCGAGTCATATCAATTTATTTCCGTTGCTATTTGACTGATCCTCCCGGTCTCCCATGTTGTCTGGACGTTCCATGTACCCATAAAAATTGTTGCTCTGGTTGTTAGAAGGGGCATCGTCTTCGTGACTTTCGAAGAATATCGACTTTCATTATGAGGTTTCATAATTCTCCCTTCAACCTGAGGGTCAGATTTCAAATGGTTTAATCTGTTTATTCTAGTTAGCATTTTTTAAGCAAGGTTGTTTTCTACGGGATGGGGTTGCCGAACCCACCTACGACCCCTCCAATTGTGTGGGCTTGGGACCGGCAGTAGCCCTAGAAGAGCTACAGGCGGAGTTAAATTCTCTTCATGCTCCACAATTATATATCTAAAAAGTGGTTAGGTTTAAGGTAAAATACATCGTTTAAAATTATAGCATCCGAACTTGGGATTATTTCTAATATACGATAGAATAACACCGTTGGAGTCCCACGAGAGGGATCGTGGATGAGCACTTCTGAGGAGTTCAATACTAGGGTAAAATGGTCGTCCAGTGGTTTCAGGATTTTAATGGTGGCTTTACATTAATCGGTTCATGATTTCAATGAGATGCAACAATCTCCACAACCCCTCACTGAATCAAACCGTCAATGTTGAGATAAGTAATATGAAGTTTAAACTTGAATAAGTTTAAAGGTTAATTGATGCTTTGAAACTGATGATCAAAATCAATATGGTTAACACGGGGTGGGAGAGATAACAATGTAATTACAAATCAGAAATCACGTGATATGTAGAATAATATGAATTAGGTATGAATTGGCGAATAGGGGTGAATGCTGAATAAACTTTTTAAAACGTTTGCAATTGTTATAATAGTAATAACAAAAGTGATAATAATAATAATATGTGTGAATAAGGTAAGTTTAAGCCATGAAAAGGGAAAGAAGAAGGTTGTATGAACATTAGTCAAATTTCGTTATCATATCACCAAAATTGCTATTGACTGATTGGATCAGAAGTTGGCGAATGTACAAGGAGCGGTTGAACACATTTCTTCTGGACGCAGTCTCTGACTCTTGATTAGTATAGTTATTACTTCAGCCGTCTAAAGGGTTACCTTTCAACCCTGAAGTGACCATCGAATGTGTAAAAAACAGTAGCTGTAGATTACCTTCATTAGAAGTTCTTTGGGTTGATCCCTACAACTATAGTATTAGCATTTTGCTGGGTGCACCGCCTTTAAGTTGTAAGCTTATATACAGAGTATTTTGCTAATAGTAAGGCATTTTTTATGCGCTCTCTTCATGGTTAAACGTTTATTCGCAAATTTCTGCAGATATCCATTTTCTTTCAGAGTAGTATGCAATGCTTTTATTTCTTTATCCACCGCATCTATGGAGCATATCATCTTGATTTCATAATGAAGTGTTTTAATTGAGCTGAGTCATTTCAACAGGTGTAAACTACTGGTTAATGTCATCGTGATTATCGTAATCGGTGGTTTGAAACTTTGGGCGCGAAAATGTTCCGTGTTCTCTTCAGAAAAACACAGTAGGAAGGACAAGTACAAGCACACTGTAAAGCCAGAAATCCCATCAAGCCACTAAGTGAAGAGGATTTGAGTAGACATAAGGACTATAGAGGCACCATTCTGCTGTCAGTAACAAGCAAAGTTTTCAACGTAGTGTTTCTGAACTGAATGAAAGATTCGGTAGACCCCCAACATTCTGGATTTCGAAGGGACCGATAATGTACCAACCAGGCTGCAGCACTAGATATTATTGTTTTTCAATCATTTGAATAGAACTCTTCACCACACATTTACTTACATGATTATGAGAAGGCACGTGACAGCATGAACAAGAGAACTTTGTGGAGTTCATCTCGGTGCTGTGGAGCACCTGAGAAGATCGTAACCTTCAAACGGAACTCCTGTGAGGAATTTCAAATTCGCAAACGTAAGTTAGATTATAGATATATCCCAAGTCACAACTGGGGTTGAAAAAGACTGCATACTCCCGCCTTTCTTTTTTTCTTCTGGTTTTTGAGTAGATTATGAAGGCATTCACATCACAGGAGCAGTGCATAATATGGTAAACACTTTCGACGAAGCTGGATGACCTAAACCTTTTTTGGTGACTTAGCCCTTTTATCGTATACATAACAACAAGTGTAGGTAAAGACTCGCAGTGTAGCAGCAGCTTCATCAGATCTCTCTCTCAGAATTTACAAGGAAAAACATTAGATCTTGAGATACAAAACATGAGAATCATGCAAATGACACCTGGTAATAGGGCTTCCAAACAGGAGGGGCGTATATGTACTTAGGCAAAATAATTGATAACCAGGAAGGATCTGATGTGGATTGGAAGGCATTAACTAGCAAAACAAGGAAAGCATTCCCTTAATCGAAGAATACCACTATTTTTAACACTAATTTTAAGACTAGAACAGTCTTTAAAAAGTAAGCTATTTGTTTTCGTATGCCTAATATACACTTTTCTTATACGTAATTTTTTCCATATATCTGTATTTGCATATATGTGTGTTTATTTCTCTGTTCACTGCACTAAATGTGGAGGCATTTAAGATAGTTCATAAATTTTATGAAGCCATCGTGCTACAAGTCAACATATGTGCCTTTCTTCATTACGGTTTGTCTGATAATGTTCATATCTGAAATGAACACTTGCTCTCAGAATATTTCGTGGTCAAATTTCAATATCACGTTCTTCAATTTAACTGACTATACAAATGGGACAGTCTGAGTATATATATATATATATATATATATATATATATATATATATATATATATATATATATATTAGAAACTAAAATAGAAATTCATATTAGATTGGAGCTAGAAGGTCACCACATAGTTATAAGTACACAAAAGTTAAAATAAGACTAAATTACCAAAAGAAATTTGAAAACAGTGAAACAGCAGTCCAAATAATGTTATGCTCACTAAAAAACATCGGCGTAGTAATAGCCTCATGTACCTCGAAGAAGTCGAAAACTTTCATGATCATCAAAACTGACCAAGTATAACAGATGGATAATTCGATAAGTAACAGAGCCTAATATAGTTTATTTACAATAACCACGAGAAAATGTAAATAAAGAAACTGGCCAAAAACTAACGACAGCAATCAACAATTATGTGTTCATCGAAAAAATAGTTTTTCAGTTGGCCATCAAACAAAGTGATGAAACAGTACAACTTATAAACACTAATTAGGTAATTAATGACGATTTTTCAAATATATTAGAACCGTCATTACTAAAGTCTATCAATCAAATTAACACTCCTCTAAACAGCTAAAAATTCTGAATCTATCCAATTCAGACAAACTTTTGACAAGATTTACCGAAATTCTTAAGCGTTTTACTTTAGTTCTTAGATGTAAACAGTTTATCCATGACATGAAATTCTTCATAAAATTAAGGTAAACTAACAAAAAACTTTGATAAAACAAAGCATTGTGGTGTTAGGTAGCCAAAATATTATTAATTATTATATATATATTATTATTATCAGTTTTCCAATCTTTTAACTGTGCAGGAATACTGTCGAAGATTGACGCGGACTATGATATTTACAGTAAGCTGGCATCAAGTTCTAACTGTTAAAAAAACTTTAAATGACTTGGAAACTATACTGAAGTTGGCAAACTAGGTAACACTAGAAATTGATGATGACTGGATAGAGAATGAATGGACAAGCACGAACGGATGAAAACCTAATAGTGAATGCCATAAAATGTATTTCATTTTAATTCACACAAGCTCTCCTGAAAGAGTTATTTCTTTTATGTAGGATATAATAAAAAATTGAAATAAATATGCTACTTTACGTAAAGACAACAGTTTTTAAGAATGATCTGTTTGTGTTCTGATTGTGTTTTCTATCGTTTTAATAACAGTGCGACATACTTAGTAACAAATAGGAAGTTGGTGAACTTATGGTGAAAAATAATGAGATTTGTTTTCATGTCAGGATGTTCAGCCTACCAAATTATACATACCAATTAAAAAAAAACTAGGCAATAATACAAACGACAACTGCAGTATTACTGCCTTGCACTTAGCTATAATTAAACATTTTCCTATATAAAGGAGAATGAAACAAGTGAAACGTCATTAAGAATAGTTGGCATGAAACCACTTGACGTTAAATAATACTTTAATATTATCTGAAGGTGAAGTTAATTTGAGACTACGTATATCAGCTAGATTTATATCTCATAAAACATTCTGTGGATACTGAGATATTCGAATGAAATTTTACTACAGTGTTGCATTCGTAGAATCAAGGATGCCATACAATTGAACCAAGGTATGCAAGCGATTTATTTAAATTAATAATTTAAGCTAAATTAAAAATACATATAGTAATAGCATCAAATCAGTTAGTCATCGAAATTACTTACTTTATTTACTTTAAGGAGAACACAAGGTGTCCCCTTATTGTAACCATAATTATTTGCAGTATTACAAGGTCCTAAAACTTCAAGAGGGAATTTGCAGACTTTATCCACATCTTTTGTTTCTCCTTCCTTGCCTTTACAATTGGCGAATTGACTGTCAGGTTTCGCGTTAACCTGATTATATGTATCTAAATACGCGTCCATATTTTGGGTGTATGGCAGATAGGTCTGTGCATCGTCAGCTGAATAACGAATGAGGGACTTTTGAGCATCCAATAGTGGACGGAATCCAAGGCCTTTTGAAAAACGATCAAAATTACATCGCAACATATACCTGGCTTGAAATCTAGTAAACTTTGAGCCCCAGTTCTAGCCGGTTGGTTCTCTGGAGCGTTACAATACAACACCAACCACAATAAACAGGTAAAGAATGTTGCAAGGCAAACATAATATACCAAGTAGAACAAAATACAGAGAGCTAGGGATGGTAGATACTGATATGCCAAACTCACTCCAGCTGCAGCATGTGCGGCCGAAAAGAGTTTTATTCTTGGGATCATATACCCACGTTGGGATGCGGCGTCGAGACATGTACGACAAAGTTGACAAATTATCCGAGAACTCCTGCATTGACATTTCCAAAAGCTTTTATTTGATGCGCTGAAGGAAAGACCTTGAAATGGCGTTCATGGAAGATGCTTAGGAGAAACAACAAACTTATCGTTAGATAAATCTGCAAACTCCATAGAACTTATTGAGTTTTAATGTGAAATTGTAATTAGTCAATGTGATACAGACAGCTTAAAATTTTTAATGTGGTAGCTGAGTTGTTATTCTCTTATTCCCTATAAGTAATATAGACAAACCACCGAGTGATTTATATTTTTGTTTTGTATTTGAAACATTGTATCTGTATGACAACAGTTCTTCATCACCTTCAAATAATGGTAGAGACAAACCTGGATCGTCTTCTGGCTTTCAGTCAAACCAGGTTCGTCTGTTGGAGTGATATCACACCCACGGAGTAAGTAGGTAATATCTAAAAGCTGGTAGTATCCAAAATTTAGTTTTCGCCATCACTTACTAATTAACAAATGAATGTTTACAATTATAAGATGTTAGAAAATGGAACTTTCGTTCCTACCAAGGCTAAGTTTTGTGGACTAATCTGTCGAACATGCCTTTAAAATTTATAACGAAATTCCAAAGACAGCCGAAATTTTCTCATTTTGTCTGGCAAAATTTTAATTGAGACTTCGAAAAGTTAGTCGAGTTTTCCCAATGTTTAAAAGCTTGTATTGTTGACGTTTTCACTAAACTTTTGTGTGCATCAACCTAACGAGTGAAAAGTTGTCATTATTGTTCATAAAAGCATGGAGAACCAAAATTGGAAAGATACATATTACTTGTTATTTTCTAGCATTAATTCATTCTCCGCTTGTAATCAACATTCTTTGTTTCAGTTTACGAATGATTCGACTAAAGTCTTTCACCTTGTATGAACCTCTCGCTCGATTTTTAGGCATCAGTTGATTAATTCCTTATGCAGGGTTAGTAATATATTCAATGATCGGTTTGTAGTTACACTTGTTTACAACCACACGATCATTGAAGCTAAACATATAATAACTGTGATGGCATTCATCGGCCTTTGAACTCTTGTGTGAGAATAGTAAGGGTTAACGCAGGACACTGAACTGAGATGGAGTTGCTCAACCATGCAGGTGTGATCATTTTGTTTAACTCCATGCTTTTTGTGTAAAATATATCACTATATCTCCGGCACACATGTTTTCCCCATAGATTAATGAACACATAACTGTCCGTCATGATGGCGAAGTCAGTATAAACGATGATGTGACTTGGACGTAAGATCCATCATGTTAGATAGTCCAATCATAACAAGTCCATAAAATTTGATTATGTCTGTTTCTCTGGTAGCATAGACGAGTGCATGTACATTGAGTTAAACAGAAACCTCAAATCGTTCACCATCAGTTCTTTCAAAATAGTCCACAATCATTCGTGTTCTTCAGCGTTTACAGAATATAATCCATTAAAGAGTTGATTATTTTATAGAGAGAAGGAAGACTTGGTACCCATACAATAGCAGAAGCCACCGTCAAATAATATGGTTGAATATGTTCACGAAGAAAACACCTTTAACAAGGTAGGCAATATAAAGCATTAAATCTCCGACAATGAGTTTGTCACTAAATATTATTCATTACATTGTATTTTTCTTTCATGAATAGCTCACAAATGTATAGTCAATTTTACCAGTTGCCAAGGTGTGCATGTAGACTCAGTTTTCATCAATGATGCGACCCGTAAACGTGAACCATTGTTTAATTCTGGTAGTTATATAATTTATGTTCCACCCAAAGTATATTCGGAACTTGGGAGATGTACATCCTTAAACCAAACGAAGAAAGCTATCTACAGAAATTACTCGGAAAATAACATTCAAAGTCTAAAATCCATGTTTTGTCCAACGAAATTTGATTTCATAGATGAAAGCATTAGTCAATTGAAGCTAGACCAACGAGGAAAACCTGGAAACACTGGCGGCCGTTTCGTCTTATTATGGGACTCCTCAGCAATGCGCATCCACGAACCTGCTCTCGCTAGCGAGATTCGAACCCAGGACCTACCAGTCTCGAGCCGAAGCCCTTAACCGGTAGACCACTGGGCTGGCATCCAACGGTGTTAATGTCTAACTTCAACTGATCCACGAAGTTGGGCAACCATTCACCAATTGTCATCAGTGACTCATGCTTTCATCTATGAAACATACCAAATCTCCACAAAAACCCCTTCTAAAATTTGATTTCCTTACAAATACCCCATTAGAAGTCATCGTTGATGTTGTTGTTATCCTAAATTTTGCTTTAATGTTTATTGACCATTAAAATTATTTTTGTACTTTTTGGTCAACTTTTATTCGAACAACACAAGCGATTGCGGAAGCAAAATGGGAGAAAGTACTAAGAGAAAAATGTTATCCGATTTCGAAAGCTGAATTGCCTAATGAACCAAAAAATTAAACGTCTGAGTCCTATGCTTACTTGGCAACTTTCTCGTAAAAACTCTTCAAATATGTGGAAACTGATTAAAAAGCATGCAGGTGGAGTACACATTGCCGATGATGCTCGATTCCGTGTTTGTTGCTTGAATATACTGTGCTATGCAAGTAGTCTGTTGTTCAGTAGATCGCGAATTCCATTAAAGTTGACGTTCGCCTGGTTTATGATCTTTTAGACAACTGTTGTTATCGCTTAAATAGCACAGAGATTGACGTGCGTAATAAAAAGATTTTGTGGCATCGACCAACACATTTCGTCTTCCCCAGTGTTATCCAAACAACCATTTCTTGACAGACTACCATCTAAAAGCGCCAACCTGCCACCACACCATTCACTCCCTTTTTATGGTGAAGCACCAACTGACAGCATCCGAACCTTGCAAACCATCGCAAGTATGTTTAACAATACACGGTTCTCCTCAAATTACGAAGGAGCCGAAATCAACCACAAACCTTGTAAATAAGCATCTAGAACATATTACCCATACGTCAGGTATAAATGGTAATCTGAATTGTAAATGGCCACTTGGTCGCACACATGGACCTGATAGTCTTCTTGGTCCGGCTCCCAATATTTACACCATGCCGTTATCAGATGTTATATCCAGTAGCAATGAGAAGACTTTTTTGTACTTCTAGCGGCTTTTCTGACAGCAAAAGTAAACATATTTCAAATGATGAATCTATTTGCAGATTATCTCCAGTCACAATTAGGCACACCATAGACCCCTTATATAAACCATTACTGATAAATACTCCGGAATATATCAACCGCAACCAAAATTGCCGTGTGTAACCAGCAATCACATCTTAACTACAGGACCACCCGTATTCTCAAAAGCACGCCAACCGGCTCCAGAAAAGCTTAGGTTGGCTGAAAAGTAATTCGACCACATGATAGACTTAGGAATCGTTCGACCGTCAAGTATCCCATGGTCATCCTCCTTTCACATGGTCCTTAAAAAGCACAGCAATGATTGGCGTCCAATTGGTGATTATTGACGCCTGAATGATAAAACCATTCTTGATCGTTATCCGTTTGCCTCACATTCACGATTTGACAGCTACCTTGAAAGGTACAACTGTCTTTTCGAAAATCGACTTGGTTAAAGCTTATAACCAAAACCCAATGGCTTATGACGACATTCCGAAAATCTACATTATAACTCCTTTCGGCCTTTATGAACTTTTACGAATGCCTTTCGGTTTAAGAAATGCCGCTCAAACCTTTCAAAGGTTCAAAGACGACGTTTTCCGAGGTCTCAACTTCGTACATGCGTATGTTGATGACTGTCTCATAGCAAGTCCGGACAGAGAATCACATTTCCAGCATCTGGACATTGTTTTCGAACGACTCGAAAGGCATGGCATTACTGTCAATATTCAGAAATGCTAAATCGGAACCAACTTCTTAGACTTCCTAGGACACACTATTGATGCTCAAGGCAACCGACCCATTAGAAGCAAAGTGGCAGCTATTCTGGATTACCCAGGACCGACCATGATTAAGCAGTTGCGCACTTTTAACGGCCTTGTAAGTTTTTACAGACGGTTCATACCGAATCGCGCGTCACTTATGAAACCGTTAACCGACCAACTTCGTGGAGATGCGAAATCAATTACTCTAGACGACACCGCTCGAAAAACATTCTCCACAGTTAAGGAACATATCACTAAGGCAACCCTGCTTTCGCATCAAGACACTCAAGTGCCCATTAGTATCGCCGTAGACGCATCCGACTCAGCAATCGGAGGAGTCTTACAACGATGGGTTAACCACTCTTGGCAACCTTTAGGATTTTTCTCGAGATGGTTGTTAGACACTGGATCTAGGTACAGCACTTTCGGTAGGGAACTTCTAGCTATGTATTGTGCTGTACGGCATTTCCAACGTCCCATCGAAGGAAGAGAATTCACGCTTTTTACCGATCACAAACTCATTACCTTCTATTTAAGTTCATCTTCAGATAAGTACTCACCGCGAGAGTCTCGACAACTCGACTACATTTCGCAGTTTACTTCAGACATACAACACATTTCTGGAGCAAACAATGTAGTCGCAGACACTTTGTCTCGAATAAGTTCCTTGAACAGTTTCCAAAGAATCGATCTTCTTAAACTCGCTCAGCTTCAAAAAGAAGATATTGATCCTCAGCGTGAGTTATCCTCGACAAATCTTAAACTATGTATTAAGCAGACGAGAACAGGTAGGGAAACCTTACTTTGTGACACATCTACAGGTAGGGATCGTCCAATAGTACCAAAATATTATCGACGCAACGTCTTCAATACGTTGCACAATCTTTCTCATCCAGGTGCTCGTGCAACAGTCAAGCTTATAGACGAACAGTTTTGCTGGCCTGGCATGAATAAAGACGTGAGGGAGTGGGCGCGCTCCTGTGTAAGCTGCCAGAAATCTAAGGTCATAAGACACAACAAATGTCTCTTAGGCTCTTTCAAAACCCCTGACTCTCGTTTCGACTATGTTCATCTACATTCGGTATGACCCTCACTCGATTCCAACGGATACTTATATCTCTTAACATGCATAGACCGTTTCACTCGATGGCCAGAAGCAGTACCTATTAAGGACAATGCAGCTGAAACAGTGACTCGCGCCTTCGTCAAACGATGGGTAACAAATTTCGGCTGCCCTTCAACCATTATTACAGTCCGCGGACGCCAGTTCCGTTCTGAACTTTTCCGTTGTCTGACCACACTATTAGGAATCACGGGCTTCCGAACGACCGCCTACCACCCACAAGCAAACGGGTCGGTAGAACGTTTTCATCGGCAACTAGAAGCTTCACTATCAACTACAAACGTTTCACAGTGGACAGACGCACTTCCACTCGTTTTGCTAGGTATCCACAATGCAGTGAAAGCTGACATTGGATACACTGCATCACAACTCGTTTATGGAACGACACTCCGACTTCCAGAAGAATTCGTGGATCCTTCGTCTTCTTCATTGAACATAAATCTAAACTCTTACACGAGCAAGCTTACAAACGCTATGAGTTCAGTTAAACCTGCTTACATTCGACCGCAATCAACTAATGTTTTCGTTCAACCTGAATTACGACATAGTACACACGTCTTCGTTCGTCGGGACTAACATCGACGACCCCTCGAATCAGCATACGAAGGACCCTTCAAAGTTCTTCAACGTGAACCTGAGTACTATGTATAAGAACGGCACGAACGATAGCATCAGCATCGATCGCTTAAAAGCAACGTACTTGGAAGGAAACCCTAGGTACGTCGAATTTCCTTCGGTACAATTGAACGACACGGCTCCCACACTTGCAGTACCCCACATGACAGCCAACACACACGTTTATACTTTGTCAATGTCGGAGAATAAAATTAAGACAACGCGTTCTTGAAGAAAAGTAAGATTTCCAGAACATTTAAACGACTATTTTACGTGGGACACAAACTTTATCTCGAATTTCCTTTGCATTATTTATTATAAAAAAATTTAATATGCTCATTTATAAATTTTTAATTCAAAAAGATAACAACTTTTTCACTAATAAGCGTATCATGTTTTATATAAAAACAAAAAAAATTTTTTCAATGGCTTTTACGCTGCCGCAAGCGTACTAGTTTATTTACTTTTTTTCCGCTCACCTTGTGCTTACGCAAGTACGAGTGTATTTCGACATGCACTCACACGTTCTATTTTTTTCCTTTGCAGGACGGCTGAAGTCTATAAAGAACCGTGATTTTCGATTGCATTTTGTTTTATGATTACTATTCTGTATTTAATGGTTCGCATATTAAGGAAATACGACCGGATGCCGCTGAACATAGCAAGCTATCAGAAGAGTGTTTACCAACGACAAAAACTTTGGGTTTAAACGTCAGGCTGGTCACGTCGTAGGGTCATCACTACCTCACTAGCGGTGGAGGAGAGTGATCTGTAGCTGTAAATAATTCCCCAAAATCAATAGCTTTTTAAATGCTCGGCATTGGATGCTGACCACATTAGTTTAAGTGGACTTGTTTAGCCGAAGTCGTTCGGTCATGTATCCGCACCAGATCACGTTACAGCACAGAGTGGGAATCATCTCCTACGATCACTAGCTAGATTAGATCAATCACTTCTCGATATATTGATAACGCATAAAATATATCTTTCCAACGTCTTCGCTTCTGACTTCTGATTTTAACTGAGTGAGGCACGATTCGATTATAGGATATGTTACTGGTTAATAGTTGTCAAACTACATTACTGGTGGCATCTTCAATACCCTCCAACATCAAGCAGGCCATAGCTGCCCCGAAAAAGTCTTATGACGGTGGATCTGACGGGATTCCTTCATCATTTGTGAAATGTGGTATTAGAGATATACCATTATTTTGTTTAAAACATTTCAACCTATCTATGGAATATGAGACTTATCCATCTGTATGGAAAACAATTATAATCACCCCTAGATTCAAAACAAGATCATGATATTGTTAACGAAAAGCCAATTAATTTGACATCCTTGCTGTCAAGAACCGTGGAAAAAGTCACCCACAAACAGCTGTTATCATTTTTACTTACGGATCGTCTGATTAGCCCATTCCAACACGGGTTTATGACTAAACGCTCATGTTTCACATAACATCTGAAATTGTTTGATCAAATTACCCGGAGAAGAGGTGTTGGTCAGTCAGTGATAATTCTGTACTTCCACTTTAGTAAGGCTTTAGACAGCGTCTCGAACAGACTTCTTTTAAAACTCTCTTCACTTGGAATACAGAATTCCCTTTTATCTTGGCTCAAATCATTTTCGAAGAACGTAGCAAAATTGTCCGCTTTGGGTCTTGCTACTCTAAACCTGTCAGTGTAACCAGTGCGGTTATACGAGGAAATGTGAATGGTTTGTTACTCTTTCTCCTTTTTACCAATGATGTATGTTCCCTTTTTCAGCATGGTGAACCTTTCCTTTCAACGGCCGATGAATGCCATCACAGTTATTATATGTTCAGCTTCAATGATCGTGTGGTTGTAAACAGTTTTCGTTACGAAATGAACTATGTGTATTGTGACCATGGATGTTCACTCACGAACAAGATGACATATATCCTAGTTCACTGAAGCTTGTCGGGATTTCCTAAATATTAGTCGTTCTTTCTTGAGGGCGTTTATGTCTCCCAGAAAACGTTTCCCATGTGTACTATCAACTTTCGGCTGCTTATTGATATTGACATAATTTCTTATTTCTAGCAGCAATTTATTGACCAGAGACTTTCATCCATCCGGAGGCTTTATTTTCTCAAATCCAATCTGTCGACCTATTCAGATTGATAGGTTCATCCGAGATGTTGATTTTGTGGGACCTGTGCTTCGTACGTCTGAGTTTTTGCCTTTCTTATTTACCAAAGTTGCGTCTGCAATTAGTTGGCATTGATTTCATGTCTTATCGACCTTTTCAGCTAAAACCTTTGGAGCACTTAGTTAGTAAAACATGTCTCAACAAGGCATCTGCGTATCTCAGAAAGCTGAGTCACCGTGGAAGTTTATTCAAGTTGTAATCAGATATCATTGAGGCACTTGTGACCTTTTTTCATTATCTCCTCTCGAATAAGGACCAATTCTCTTTGTTCATTTTGGTTTAGTTGTAGCCCTGACTTCTGTATCAGCAGGCACCTCACTGTTTGCAAGAGATGGCTTTGCAACTAGGATATCGTTATATTTTTAAGCTAGTTTGAGAATTGCACAAGCTATATTATCAGTATCCGACAAGTTCATTACTTCTGAAGACTTTAACTCTTCATCAGAGAGTTTTGTTGTGAATTGAGACATCATCAGCTCAATTTGTAAATAAAGCAACTTTTTGGGCAACATAGTTTACACATCCATAGTGACGTGGAACTGTTTTACCCTTTTTAGGTAGTAGGGTCAAGTTGGTTAATATTTTGCTGTACTTTCTGTTATAGTCATCAAACTACATGCTTCATTAACTGAGAGGGCCTTTAGAAAGAGTTTTCAAGACAACTTATGATTCTCAGAGTGCAACAAGGCAGAATGACCAACAGAATGAAAAAGTAACAAACTCCTCTTCGAAAATTTCACAAGTCAGAACTTTAAGGGTTTCATTATGACCAAAGTTGGGCGTAGGAAACGATATTAGGTCTAAACATGCATCTCAGAAAAATGTTTTGCCCAAGTATGATAGCTAGAAGTAATTAAATTGTTGTGTGAACTAAGAATTCTTAGAATAATGCAATTTAAGTCAGATGGAGCATTATAAACACAACGGGACCTATTGTTTCGGGAATTCGTAACAACTACGGAGTTATGTATACATAAATATACATATATTACATTATGATGTTAGGAAGTGGTTATCTTATAAGAAAATACTCAGGAAATGAACCACTGTATTCAAGTAGCTAAGCCAACCGTAATGGAAACCGATGTGAAGTCATAGCCGTTAACTAGCACTAAGATTTTAATATGAAGCTGTAGTTGATTCATAATAACTTGTGAATAAGATATCTTGAGTATTTGAAACAGTAGATGTAATACATGGCCTTGACTAGTAGCGCCACGTACATAAGTCGTTACTTGAAGGTCGTATATTTCTATGTTGAATAAGTTCTAATGCGTAACAGTAATATTTAAAGATAAACTGTCATGACTTTTTCTTTCAAATAAGCTATTTAATCATGTCCGAGTCACATACTGACAACTGAGGGTAAGTCAATCTATTGATCTGGCGCTAATAATAATTATTGCATTACAAACGTCTGTTTATTGCGTTAAAAGTACGTCATGGTTTATTGTGAAAGCAAAATGGTTAATTTTTTTCTTAGGGTCATTCTTGATTCCAGAGTACTAGCCCCAACATATAAATTAGGATAGTGTATCTTTAGAACGCTTAGTCGTAAACACAAAAAGTTAATGTAAGAAGAGGTGAAGAGGAAGGCTGATTATGAGGGAAAAGTTTTGGTAAAAATTTCAGTATTCAGGCTACCTACCACTGGGACTACTGCAGTAAAAGAGCTAAAGAAACTCCCTTGAAATGAAAACATCTATGTTAAATCAATAAACGGATGCTTAAAAACCAACTTATTTATATTAGCTACTCTGTTCAAACTGCTTCACAATATATAAGAGTTGACTTTAATCGGGTGAGTATCTCTGTTTCAAAGCGTCATCCCATATTGACGCTTTTGAACTTAACTGATGTGCCTACTGTGGCATTTACACCTTACCACTATATAGGACATGGACTCAATGTAATCTATCCCTATCTTACATACATATTCCCTGTTTATTGTACGCATGATATTCAGTCATATAGTGTATCACAGCGTTTCTCAAAACACACTGTCAACAGTCCTGGTTATTATTATTAAAAATACAGTCTGATAAAGCTGTCAAGGGATAAAATTGATCCTATCTCTGTTCCATAAATCTGTCTATAGTATTTTTCATTAATAGAAGAGTGAACATTTGTTGGTGCACCACAAAATATTTTGACACTCTCCTTGGGAATTCCAACTCTGGTTTATTTTTCGACATTTGTTAACACAAATCCAAGTGATACATCAATAATTAAAGGCTTGACACCTGGAGATGTCATATGTATCCTGCTCATATTCATGTCTTACACTTCGTAAGCAAAGTGAAAAACGTCATTGACGTTGCTGTTCATGGTAATAACTTAAATAGGGGTTCCAAGATTTGAAGCAGGATGTTAATGCATTTCTTTGCTTCACCAATTTTTAGTCAACTAGAAGTTGTTGTCTAACTAAAGTATGAGCTATATGTTGCTTTTTTCATTTCTGTACCTATGTGTTTATCCTAATGTCTTGTGGAGAACAAAATATCATGCTTGCTAATAGAGAAATCAACCAGAAAATCTGCCATCATTTTACTTGTTTTAGAGAATTTTAGAGAAAGTCCGAATGTAGGTGTTCCATAACATATAGCCAATGGTAGTCGTTTGATTTATAGATTTGAAACATTCAAAGTGAATAGAAAAATGCTTCTTATGTTTCCCGATAAGGTTTGATTTCATCTTTTGCTTTTATTTATTTAGGCCAACAATCATAACTTTTGCATTTAAAATAAGCTTGTAGCGCTTATGTCACTTCCTAGAGTTGAGAAAACTTGATAGATGATCGTACTAGTTCTTTGTCACTTTGTTTTTCTATTCGTCTCTTTAATAACGCCCTTCTTAAACTGACTATTCCCACGCCTTTTGTTGTATAATTTGGTAATTACTACTCTCAAGTTTATGTTTTCATTGTTTGATTCAATTCCTATATCATAGTACATTTGTCGATATCATAATATTTGTTATTCTTATATCTGCTGCAATAGCTCGCGATTTGTACATTTGCTCGTGATAGTCAGCTACGTAATAGTTCTTCATTGTTATAATTGTATCATAAATTTCCTCGATTGCTTCAATGTCTTTTGTATATACATACAAACATTACTGTATATTTAAGTAAAACCTGATAGTCTAATTAAAAACAATATTCATTGCTCATTTGTTATCTTTAAAAGACACTCTGCAGAGCATTGTTGCTTTAAACTGATGCTAGCTTTCATTAAAATTCAACACACAAAAGTTTAACTGACTTCTTAACGTTCTTCTGTGGACAAAGATGTTTAAATTTCCAGAACATTTTGTATATTGTATTTCAGATTAAAATATCAAATTTTCCTCTTGTTCCTTTCATTTGTTACATAACGTTTGTAGATTTGCTTCGTCATATTATTTTTATTGTCGTAAGTGCTTTTGTTAAAATAACTACACGGTTTAGCTTGTTAGTACTTTTTGTGTACAAAAAATTAGTCTGATTAGCACAACTGCATCCATTCATTATCTAAATTCCCAGCTTTCCATCCTCCGATCTTATGTTTCTTTTGAACAGTGCTTCTTATACACTTAAAATCTCAATGCTTTTCAGTTAGCTTTCGTCGTGTGTCTCTCATTTCCATAATTTCCTCTTTATTCTTCTGCGTCGGCGGGGGACTTGAACCAATGAATACTCGTGACAGATGATTTGTTGGAAGTGACGATCTATATTTATTGGTACTGATCTAGGAAAAACATCAAGTGATAGTTTGTAGAAATCAGATATGTGATTACACAACTAAAATGTTTCTTACGTTTAGTCGGAAACGGATGATATAGCTCAGAACTGATTACTGTGACTCAGATGTATTCGCATTTTTTCTTTTCCTAAATCTTGAATTCTAATGTTCCCCGATGTACACCTTTCCATTTATTGTTTTCGAACCGAATTCCCAATATTTAGTTTGTCTGACTATCATTAATACAACTGTTGTTTTGATTTCACTACAACTCATCTCGTTAACGTTACTTCATTGTGCTAAAGTTTAATGGCAACCTGAACTAAATTGTATTATTGTTACTGATAAATGTAGAACCCTCTAGTTTGAGTGGAGACATTTTGTCGTCCGTAACTCCTGTTAAAATATATGGTGACTGTGTTGGGGGGGATTTTTCACTATCAATGGACTTTCTTTATACTAACAGTAAACGTTTCCTTTTGGAAAATACAGAAAAGCCTAATAGTATTTTACTTTAACATCGGAAAAAAAGTAATACGAGGAAGATTAGTTATTGCGTTTTTACGGTCGTATGAAACACTGGACGCTACATTAATTCCTTTAATAAACTTAACCAATATGCTAATTTTGGCAATGAACAATTCATCTAATCTCTGTAATCTATAAGTGTTAAGAATTCAGTTTTGTAGCTTCATCTATTTTATTGATTCGTGAATTGTGTTATAAGTAACTTAGTTGGATTGACTCCAATGAACCTGTCAACAGATTAGTATATAGTCCAAATGGTCTGAGGTCTTAAAAATGTCATAAAACGTTCGTATGAAGCTTTAACGAAGGACATTATGAATGCGATTTTCTAACTAAAATATAATATAATTCGTTTGATGAAAATAAGTGCAAATCAGCATAATATATTGAAACAAGTTCTAAGACTTTAATATAAAATTTTATGTCTACTTAAAGTATTTTCGAATTTTTCTCGCTTCTGGTCTTCAATAATTCATTTTTTTAGATTATCTTGTAAATCACATACGACCTCCGAGGAATACTTTTTAATCTCAAATCCGAATAAACTACCGAAACGAAGTTTTGTCATTAAGAGAATTCGATTAAGGCCCAAAAGCAAATTACTAGTTTTGTATAACTTCTGATGACTCATTTATACGGTAAAGTGGATTTATGGCATGCGTCACAGACTGATCTTAGTTAAATAATCATTGAAAAGCAGGGAGCATTAAACAGCTATTTTGTCGTAGCATGGGGTTCTCCAGCAATACACATTAAATACCCTATCAGAGATTGAATCCAGGACTTCCAGATTTTGTGAACAGTAATTAGACTAAAGACCGCTGAACCGACAACTAGTGACTCACATGTCCATATTTAGTCAACTTGCGATGCTGAGCTACTTTTCAATGTCATTGGTAGGTAGACTGATTAACACCTGATATTTTTAAACTCCACTGGTCATGAATTTTCACTGAAACTACCGGAATTATCTCTACATAATTTAGTAGAACTAAGTTTCCTTTTCTTACATATATATATATATATATTTCACTAGTTACTAAAGATATAAATACGTTTTATTATTTCATATTAATTATTTAAATCCATTATAACTTGTTTCTTTTCTTATCTTATTTTTCACAATTTCATCTATAGATGTTTAAACGATTAATTCGTTGTCATGTGAAATCATCTCGTACACCACCGAATAAAGATGGTACAAATAATAAAATTCACTTACCAACTAAATGTACTACGTGGTTATTTTCAACCATTTCCTCTTCATCTAAAATCTCAACTACCAGTGACATTGAAGCAAATAAAAGCACAGAAACTTGTTTAATAGATAACTCTTCCAAAACAAACAATTGTAATGAAACATGTATTTTGATTAACACTCAACATCCTAATGATAGTCAACGAATTTCTTGCAATCCTTACTGTCCTGATCCAGAAGGTATTAAACTACCTTTTATACATTTCACTAAAGTTAGGAATCAATTTCTAGCTATTCGGTAAGTTATTTCTACATGTTCACATAGTTTTCCTTTTATACGTTTGTGGCAAAACGAATTTTTAAAAAAACATTATCTCTGTAATATGTACTTATAATCGATGTCTTTTAAACATCCTCCAGTAATTTAATGGTCTGAACACTTAACTGTTAACCATTTAATCATTTGATAGATTTTTTAAAAACATGAATATTCTTCCTATTTATAATATAATGTAAGCGATTTGTAATGATTTATAATAATTCTAATTATTCCACCCACAGTTTACTACTCCTAGAATACGGTTTACGTTTAATATATCTATAAAAGATTGACTCGATATTAACTAGTTACGAGTCTCAAACCTTAGATGTTATGGTTAATAATTATCCAAAATTTAAAAAGTAATTTTAGGGAACAATTTCCTATAGTTCATGGATAGCTCTCACGCATTAAGTTTGGCTCAAAGCTGTGTACATGAATCTGTACTTGGTATATGAGTATATTATCAAATTAAACAGAATATATAATAAAGTGACTGGAAAAAATTACTTAAGTCGGGGAATATAAATTGTTCGGTGGTTGTAAAATGTCAAAAATTAAATGAAGTTAAACTTCTGCACTACTGGGTCATGGCTCAGTGGTTGTAAGGTTAATTGTTCCTGCCTGAAACCTGAAGGTCCTGGGTCGGATCCTCAGCGGAAGAGTCGTGGAGACTCATTGTAGAGGAGTCCCGCTCCGGGTCGAAACAACTTTCTCGTTCCTCCAGGTTTCTAACTGTTGTCTAACTTAGATCGGTCTGTGATCTCAATAAAATTCAACAATGTACACAACCCCCATACTGATTAAATTCATACTGACTACAGGAGTACCCATTGTCTTGATTATTATTCAACAGTCGATCACAAAAAGTTCATAAATGTAAATCAATGTTGTTTTTCTTCTACATGAAGGATTTTGCCTTGGTGCGGTGTGGGGTAACTGATAAATAGAACTGTGGCTTTTTATACTAAGACGAAAATGTTGTCTAATAGTGCTCTTTGAATTTCATTGATTCACCAAATCATAGTAACCAATAATTAATATGAAATATTTAACTTTTCGAATTGTTTCGTCATAAAATCATGTTTTTTTTCAAAAATTTTTCATCTTTTTTTTGAAACCATCATAGATCTCAATCAATATCTTCATCTATAAAAGAACAGTTAAAATCTCATTCATTTAATAATTGGTTATATTCAGATGCTGAATTAATTAATTTTGTTAAATTTATGTTTGTCGATTTAAATCTACCGGAATTATGTCATTTCTCTATTGATACACTTGAAAATTGGATATTTTCAACTTATTTACGATATAACAATGTACCATTTCATAATTTTAAACATGCATTTATGGTAACTCAAATGGTGAGTATTATTATCATTATTACTATGCCCAATTTGAAGTTTGCAAAGAGCTTAGTTTCAGCAGGTTTCAAAAGATTATATCTTAAGTGTTAATTGCTAGGGCGCGAGACTGGTAGGTCCTGGGTTCGAATCTTACGAATGCAGGATCGTGGATGCGCACTGCTGAGAAGTCCCATAATAGAACGAAACAGCCGTCCAGTGCTTCCAGTTTTTCGATGGTGATCTAGCTTCAACTGACTCATGATTTCAACTACGAAAATTATAATAATCCCCAAATAAACTGAAAATCGGATTTCAATCAATGAATGAAGCTGTTAAGCTAATCAACATGTAAATGATAGGACTGTAGTGAGGGAAGATTTGGGTACGGTAAACCAATGTGTCATTTCCATAACTTCCATTAGTTGTCCTTTACATACTCCATGATTCGTCCTATCTTTTTGTCACTCTGATTGTTTTTCGTTTTCTTCCTCTTCTCTTTATACCAGTCTTCTGATAATCATCCTACTCTCAATTCCTGCTACATACTACTTATACCTGTCCGCATAAGTAGTACATACCATAGTAGGACTGCAACAATTATTGGCAAATTTTTTTTCTGATCGTATGAATACAAAAATTGACGACATACACAAAATAAAACGAATCAGCATGTATTACATAACCTTTTTTGCTTTTAAATGTAATTCATCAAAAACAATTAACCGTTTAGCAATAAACTATGAAATTACTTGCTACTTGTAGTTTCCTAACAGGTAATTGACATAAATTATCCAATACTATTGATACACATACAGATTCATCACGATAATATAACTGGAAAAAAAAGATAATAGAACAAAAATAAATTTGGAAGTTATGGAGTGTGGAATGGTATTGGTTAATGTGTATGTAAGATACATGTGTAAGATACGAGTGTCCCAGACAATATAGCTCTATTAGGTCATAATGACAGGTATGGCTGACTACCACGTCAGGGTAGCAGCCATGGTCGATGACAACTGAGTTGGCTTATTGTATATCACTGTATTTTAAGGTAATGGTACTGAACGATGCAGCTCCGAGGGAAAAAAAACTGTGTTTTGGTAATACTAGATAAAATTAGGAAGTATGGGTAAATTCCCATTAAGTCAGACCTTACATACCATACAGATGGAAATCTAGAAGTATAAAAATATTAGTAGCTAGCTAACTGAATTCGTAATAATGAGGCACTTACATGTAATGATACAAAACTGCAATTTAAATAACTAAGCTATTTTTCACATCGTTGCCAAACAATGAGACGTTCATTGAATCGTACAACAAGAGAGTGGTTCAATGAAACTATCTATTCCCGTTTATTTCACTACTTTATGTTCCACAACGTAGTTAAGATAACTAGCCAGCAATAATAATACTACCATTACTCATCTTTTTATCTTTACACACGGTATATATATATATATATATATATATATATATATATATATAAGAATATTATAATAGTACTGAAATACTTTTTTTGAACAAGAAACGTAGTATGTAATGGATGGGTGTGTCATTTAGTGAGTTAAGTTGATCTATGATCCTTCAGCTGTCTAATTAGTTAAGTTGTAACTTGCTAAAATTCACCTATTCGGTGGTTGAAGGTCACCGTAAGGAAGCTTTGCTCTACCTAGGTTTCGCGCTAGTTGACACTGGTCATCAAGTCGTACATGTAATCTTAAAGGGACTGATGTCGACTGGAACTCATGTCACCTAGTTGCCACTAAGATATTCAAGCCGTAACTGAAATATTTACAATTGATTGATTGCTGAATGGTTAGCCATCCCGGTAGGTTTTCTGCCTACTACTTCAAACCATTTAACACTGGAGCATAATGGAAGCGTTATTGAGTTACATAGACTGGTGACCACACTGTAACTCAGTAGATGGAATCCAATCATCACTAGAGACCAGACAAATACAACACTCACCTATTCCGAAAATGATGTTAGTTGCTAGTCAGGAGGCACTGAGTATTTATTTGATTATAATGTATAGCTTTTCAGAAGGATAAATCCACTCTTCCCTTAACGAGGAATTGAATATTCCAATCTTGTGTCGATCTTGTTGCTTTTGGACTATTAATTTAGCGTTTAATGTAGTCTGCTTTTCTAACTTTAACCGACTCACGATATTATCATCATTAAATGTTATTAGTTTGTGTATTTGCTTCACTTCTGTATTAATCCCACAGTTAATTAGTCACAGCTCACTGAAACTTTAGGAAGTCATCTCAAAATTGGTCACTAGTGGCTAAATCAAATGTTCGAATATGATTTATTTAAGTAAACCCTGTTTGGATAATTTTCACACTTCATTCTTGACTATGTATGATTTATTTACTGGTGTTTATTGGGGTTCATTCATTAAGATAGTTTGATTTTCAAAGTAGATTTTTCATGTCATTGCTTGTCTTGGATCCCATCTTTTATGATATTGTGAAAGTGTGCTGTTCTAGAGCCTTGGTATTTGACATAGCATCTGTCGATTGTCCCATAGTTTTAACTCAGCCCTCTACTAATAGCAATTTGTTGTAATCACTTTTAAAATGATCACTGTGTCTTCATGAACATTTTACTATGTATGTTGATGTGGTGGCTAACTTTCAATCACTAAATCACGGGTTCGAACTCCGCTTCACCAATCTCAGTTTTGTCAGCCAACCAGGTAACCAGATATCACTAACCCTCCATTCACACAAAATAGTCCAATGCTGTGCATATGAACATATGGTTTGTTGTTAAGTTATAATCACTATCTCATTTGTGTGAGTCTTGATTCTTACTTTTTCGTTTCTTTTTCACTTGGTGAAATATGAGAGTATGATGTATGAAGTTTTAATGATACAAAATCTTTATTATTGCTGAACATGAAGAATGATAAATTTGTCTAATGTTAAATTTCTACTATTTATACAAATTCTTTATTCTAGTAATTTTAATTCAATAAAGATTCATTATATTAGACTGCTACACAAAAGGTTTATAGTTATAAAAAAATTACTTTCATTACTATTCTAATGATTTCCCAGTCTACCAATCGTATTTGTATAAATCTAAGATTTTTTTCCATCTTCCTAATAAGCATTTATCAGTATACAGGTGTTCATGTAATGCTATTTACATCAAGTCTAATACTAGTGTGATATGGGTTACTGATATCCACATAAGTAGTATATGGTGATAGTCAGGCATTGAATGTATTTCAGTAGAAGATCGATAAGGAGAGAACGGGAACGACACGCAATTGGTGCGAAAATGCATGAACAATTATAATCGGAGACTATAGAAGGATATTTACAGAAGAAACAGTTAAATTGAGACAATTGATTGTTATTTTGCAAATTAAGTGTTCACTATATATGGTTGTCATATTTTAATGAGATATTCTGTAATGTTGTGCTGAAATACATTCGATTGTTCCCACCTGTGTTCTTGTTCACTACACTAGATCATCTAAGTAAAATACTACCATATCCATTTTATTTTGTGATTCAGAGAAATAATGAAATTAATTCAACTGATGGCCATGTTTTATAGAATTGTTTTCACTCCATAATCATAGTCATGTAGTTAGTATTTAACTTATCGTATCCTTTTAACAGCATTCTAACTAGCTTATTATGAAAATATCTATCAATGGAAGAGTGGTGTTAGGATAAGTTATCTTGTAGTATCTTGTGTACTGATCTATTGTATGTTACTTTTAAAGCCTGAAACATTCTCGTTTTTGCTGATTTTTTACAGATAATGTGATGTATACAAACATTTGAATTGATCCATTTTTTGTGATTTCAATTATCTTTTTTCAAATAGAATTTCCTGTTTTTCTCTGATTTCTTTTTTTTTTGAGAATCAATTTTGTTAGCGTGTTGAAGCTGTACTGTCCAGTTGTCTTTTTGTTATTACTTTTTTTAATGAGGACTTCAGATGTTTATATTGTGTTGGGCGTTCGTCCGATTCTGATATTTATATTGAAACCCAGCTAATTATTTGAGTGAGGAAATCAACAGTTAGTAGAAAGTTTTTATTGACTAACCCGATCGAGATATATGCATGAACTCGTTCATTAATATAGATACGTATGCCTCGGAAGATAAAGCCAGGTTTTCAACCAATACCACGTATTTCCCTCCCTCCGGAATTTAGGCTAACTATTGATTGATAGCATACACCTGTCAATACTTCTCATTTATCATTTGTTCTTGAATGGCCCTTTGATTAACCCAGCCTATCAACTTAATATGCTTCTTTTCCCGAAAAAAGATATTAATTTAATAAATCAAAGTATTGATTTCTGAGACTTTAACTAAGCACTGTATTTCCACTCATGTCCTTAATAGATTTGAATTATCCTGTTCTTTAATATTCAAGATTGGATTTCGATTACTTTTTGTTGGTGTGTTTTCATCTTGTGAAGATTGACTAAATATGGCCATTTCATTGTACGTCATATTATAACTTGTGGCCGAGTGGATGCCCAGTTAATGTATGACGTGATAAGACAGTCAATCAGAGAGCAGCGAAGTATCGATTGGAACAGTGAAACACGGAAACCGTACGAGCAGTCTAGAGTACGTATCGCTCCTGCTTCTGCCTAGCCCAGCTAGTTAAGTCCAGAAGAGCCTCTGCAGTATGAATGATTATATTTCAAACATACTGAGTTTATATACCAATCAAACTGACCACATCGTACCATAAAATAGAAAATAATATGTGTACAAGATTTAGCCAAATGTGGCTGTGAGTAGAGGAGATAGTAATTAATAGACAGGGCATAATTCAGGAATGGTAAATCATATAACAATACTGTATAGTTCAAAATAAAGCTTATAATAAGGGGGACACGAATATGAATACTCTACTTATTTAGCGACCATACGATAAAAATATATGCATAGTATTGGTTCATAAATAGATCCCAAAGTTACCATTCATTATTCTTATCGGGACATAAGACGTCCTCCTTTTGT